ACCCCCCGCCTATCCCCGCCTCCCCCCTCCCTTCAGCCCGCGCTTCTAAGCAGCTCGCTGCTAGAGGGACTTGGAACCTCCTTCAAACCACCGAGTCAAGCAAACGGAAGCATCCCCACACTGCACTGTACTTTCTCTCCGCCCTTGCAGTCTTTTCACTCCGGGAAAGCGTGGTTCACTTTTATGACCGAATGCTCGACGAAAATGGCACCTCCAGAAGCTGCCCCACCCAGAACCGCTACTGTCACTCACTCTGAGACACTCTCTATAAGCGATCGTCGTTTGAAGCCAGACCAAGCGGTGCAAAGACTGGGGGCTGGGCTCCTTCCACCTCCCCTCGAATCTCCTCAGCGCCTCTAGAGGACCCTGTGCCCCACGCTCATACCCCTCCTTTCTCTTCGCCACAGAGGCACTCGTGTGCCCCCCGAAGGAGTTTACCCTAATAAGAGCAAAATTTCTCCCCTGTTTCCTTCTTCCATTGTGCAGCTTCCTGGCATTGGAAAGCTACAAAGGATTCTTAGCTGCCAAGCTGATCTCACAGCGTTTGCTAATGTAGGCAAAGTATTGCTTCCTCTTTTAATCAAAAAGACATACTGTTCAGGTGGTTAGGAGCCCACGTGAAGCCCTGCCTTTAGTTGACATGCTACCCCCCCTTCCCTGCCGCCCCTCCGCCCATCATGCAAAACTTGGGTTCCAGAGCAGAGTCCACAGAGCAGGAAATCGTAGTTCAAACCTTCAATTTGGAGTCTGCCCATACTTGGCAGAGCTAGAAGCAGAGTTGCATAGTGATTCAGAAAGGCTCACACACTATGCTGTGGCCAGTCTTCTCTCTCTACACCCCTTCTTCCTGGAGAAATCCTAAACTTTCTTAGGTATATAGTGGGGATAGGGTGCTAAGAGCGGTCTCCTTCTATCCAGGGTTTGCTATGTACTCCATGTCATCTCCCTTCACTTTCTGCTCAAACAGGACTAGGCAAGACACAAAGTTCAAAATGCTTTAACTTCAACCTGATGCATAGTTTAAGTCATACATTTTCAGTCTCAGTTTTCAACCTATTAAAATCAACAGAACCTATCTTCATAGTCCCAAGATTATTCTGAATATAACTGAGAAGTGTATTACCAGTAATACAGCAGAGGACTTTGCAACTTGTTCAAAACAAATTTGATTTTAAATCTATATAAGAATTTTACTATTAAAAGTATCTAGAGTGGACTCATGTCAAATGTGAAATTTGAATCTCATGAAAACAATCATTCCCTGACTTGCTGTTTTGTGAATGTTTGCATCTGTACACAAAAATCTTTTTTTTTTTAATTTAATTTTTGTTTAGAAGAACTGAGGTACAGACCAGAGATGCCATGGGAGTGAGAGGGTTCACCAAAGACAGTGGGGCGAAAACGAGCAGTTTTACTGAAATGCACTGGTAAGGACAGCAGTGGGAGAGACAGGAGGGGTTTGCTGTGCCACGTTTGAGTCACCTTCCTGGCATGGGGATCCAACTCATAGCTTTCATGGTGACAAAACTGAGACTTAGGAGCTAGGCAACCAGGGAGACCCCAGAGAAGAGTTTTATGGTGAACAGTTTATATATATAGTTATTTAGTCAGTTGAGAAAACTAAAAGATTAGCCTGGTGTGTGTGTGTTAAGACATATATTATTATAACCACTATGTAGATGATTGAAACCAGAATAAGGTATCACTTGCTCAAGGAGATAAATGGTGAAGGTAGGCCTGGGCTCTCATTTTCTTACATGATATATCAATATAACATACCTTATAAGGTATATATAGAGACAATAGGAAGTTTCAAATTGGCGAGAACATCTATTGACTACCATTAATTGAAAATGAACAAAGTGACAAATATTCCTCTGAGATAAAGAATATTATTTTTTCTTCATAAAGAAATACAGTACTTATATATTGATAGATGCACAAGGAGAGGGAGTTTAAACTCAAGGTTCCCAAAAATTTCTGTCTGAGAGGTCCATACTCTTCCTACTGTTTCCCTGTTGACTGATTTGTACAATTGGTGGACAAGCCAGCAATGCCCCTTTACCCTGAAAAGTGTGCCTTTAATAAAGCTGCAAATCCTGAACTAAGGTGACAGAATCTCCTCTGAGGATCTACTGTGCTTCAGAATGATTATTCCTGGGTAACAATCCACATAATGAAAGGAATTTGGTTCAAGTGCTCTCAAAGTTACTTAACCCAATCCCCCAATAATTGAATGATTTTCCTTCTCATTGTAGCCCATATAGATAAAAATAATATAAGAAATAAGCTACATAATGAAAATGAAAAATTACATTACCCAGAAGCAATAATTTAAAAATTCGAAGTAACTTTGTCCTACTGTCTCCTGCTTAGTTCTTGTGATTATGATACAACCTTGAAATAAATAAATTTTCCCTATTATCATTAGAGAACTTTCTGAAAGTCTCAAAAATCACTTCATAAACACTTTTAATAGCTACATTTAATATATTTAATTTAAAAAAGTTAGTTTAGTTAATGATACTTCTCTTGTCAGATATTTAAAGTGTTTTTAATTGCTACAATAAATTGGTTCTCAACTATGAAATAAATTGCAGTTTCTAAAAAGTGTAAAGTGTTTGACAGATATTGCAAAACTACTTCTCAAAGTCACACACTTGATTTATAGGTATGATAATGGAGAGAAGGTACATTTCATGGTTACCCTGTTAATAAATGTTTCCTGCAGATCTTGATCTTAACCCCTTCTCCGTATTCCTTCTATGGCCTCAGTTATTTACTCTGACTTGGGCATATATGGTTGTTGTGAATTTTCAAAAAACCTTGGAGAACACATAAATTCAGTTTGGGAACCAGACAACCCTCATCCTCAGATAGATCAATTAATTATGCAAACATCCTGAGTTTTCATATAAGTATATATTTGGAGAATATACATGACATATCATACAATAGTATGACTATCATATTATTCACTTAGACTATCCAAACCAATCTCTTCTTGGGTATTTTTGTTCATTACTGTGCATTGTGGCAGATTATCTTTAGTTTGAGCAAGTTAACTCCCTTGAAAAGGTGTGATTAACTCAGTGTTGTTCTTGTTTTTAATTTTAACCTCCTGAGAATAGTGCTTCTTGACTGTTATAACAAAAGAACTTTCTGGAAAACTTTCATTAAACTCTGGGAAGTGACAATAGAGTGTATCACTGTGTTCAGTATTTTTCTACATTCATTGCTACCCATCCTACTCTTTGGTATACAGTATGAGGTACAGCAGGGGAATTATAGGCAAAACTGAGAACTTGTAACATTAACCTTCTCAAAACCTCTTAGCTGCCCACTTTTTCCTTCTTGATGGGATAGATTTTTCTACTTTCAAGCATGTGTTGCCTCTCCACTGCTAACCATGAGCATATATGATATTTCATTTCTAATTCATGCTGATGATGCACATATGTGTTATTAGACTGCAAAGATACTGTTGACATTCACAGAAAAGTGATTATTTAGCTTTCATTCCTGGGGTAGGTTGAGTGCTTATGACTGACTGGGTCAGTATCCTAATGATGTAGGATACTCTAGTTTTAGGTCACCATTTTATTACAGTTTTCATTTCAAGTGGAGAAATATTTGCCTTCCTCTTCACTACTACCCTTTAAAAATAGCCTACCTTCTTGAGGTTCTACAGTTTTAATGTTATGTTTATTTATTTATATTTTGGCCTTTCCTGGACTTCTGAGAGTTCTGAAATCAAGCTCATGATATTGTAAAAGACCATTAAATTTTTTTCTTGTGTGTGAGACCACTCTTATTCAAGTCATGTTCTTCACTAATATATGCTTAAACTCTGTTAGAAGGTATTAGTAGGAGATGCTTCCTATTAATGTTTTAGCATCTTTCTCCTATGTTTTCCTTTTACTCTCTGAATTGAGGGTATTATAATTTTATCAGGATTGAGGGTATAGTTTTATTTTTTTCCTTACAGTTAAGAGTATACCTTTCAGCATTCATTTCACAAAGGCAACGATAACAGAATAAGTGCAATCACCTTCCAAACCAGATATTTTGATGGCTTTGAGGGTGACTTCAATATTTCTGCCTTTCTACTGAAGAATTTTAGGAAATTCTGTGTCAAAACTATGAATACAGATATTTAGAATGTAGCAATCATTCTGAAGAATTAAGGGTCTTTTACAGTAAATGCTGTAATACTACCTCAGTGGTCATTCCAGAAATTATTTTTCTGGGTTACTGAATTGGTGGGCAAATTGGAGTCATGCTAATATTTTTTTTCAATGTTCTAATGCTAATTTGATATCTTAGAAAACAGAGGTTCATGAGTATTGTTTAATGTCTATTTAATGATTAATAAATACTAGAGGAGTTTAAAGTCAGTGTAAAGGCCAGCACAGAGGGCAGGAATTTTAATAAAAAATTATGATATGTATATTTTTTAAAGTGGAGTTCAGGAATTATCAGCTATATTGTACAATTAAATTCTTGTTAAGCAGGCATTTACTGTAAAAGTAAACTAATTTGTTTTTAGGGGCATTGTTTAATTAGGTACTTTAACAAGAACTGACAAGTGTATGCCAATTGAAAGTTTATGATGTATCTTTACATGTACTATTTAAAGTAGTTCTTTTAGATGAATACTATATGATATTATTGCAGGCTTAAAAGTGAGAAAATGAAAGCACTTAAGAGTTTCTGGTATTTGTTCCTAACACCACACAACTAGCAAGAAATGAAATTTATACAGGTAATACAGTCCAAGAAGTGAACTTTCTACTTGATGCCTCAAATATCTTAGTACATAGGTTCATCATATAATCCCATTTACTTCTCTTAGAATGGGAATATGTGT